TCAGAACTTCGTTTTATGCTCATTTGATAGAAGATTGAATTCTCTACAAAACCTGCTATTTCAATCTCTGATAGCATTTTTGAAAAATATGTGAGGAGATGGAGATTTTTCGATGAATCTTCTGATGTTTTCAAAATTCTTCTGGAATGTGTTTTCAAAGCAAATATTTTTCTATTTTCGGTGTGCCGGTCAATATTTTTACCGGTCAATATTTTTAATGGTACTCAAATAAGAAAAATGCTATCAGAGATTGAAATAGCAGGTTTTGTAGAGAATTCAATCTTCTATCAAATGAGCATAAAACGAAGTTCTAGAAGTGGATCTCGTTCCAGAGGATCTCTTTTCCTCCAAATTTCACATCGTATGATAGATTAAGGTATTCTTTATAACTTTATCATTGGGTCTAGTGCAAAAATGCGCTTTTGGAAGTCGATGGAAACAGATTTTCGTCTATACCGTGCAATTTGAACGAAGTGACCGGAATTCCCCCAAAGCATATGTATATAAAAAATGATTGCCTTTTGATTTCTCTAAATTGGAATTAACTAACTAATGGTAAGCACGACTGCGCTGCGAATCAGACAAGCGGGTAGAATTCATAATTCTGCATATGATGATCTAATTTTTAATCACAAAGGTGAAAGTCCACCATTGAAAAAAAGTTCATTTAGTTTGTACTAATCGTTAAAAATTCATTAGTGGTAATTAGTAATTACCACTAATGAATTTTATCATAATTTTTGCATCAGCCGTTAGCTAAGAGTCAGATCTATCTATTTGTACAAAACGATTTTCTCTGGTTAAAAATGACTTAGCTATGAGCAAAATACTGAGAAGATTTTTGACATTGACCGGAAGTACCCCGAGTTACTCTACATATGTGCATAGCGCTTTATTTCTCTTTATAGAAAAGAACCACTTTTCTATTTTAATCTACCAGTTATTTGATGTCCAAAAGAAGCAGACTTTATACAGAAAGAAACGTTGGGCAAGTCTTGCGCAGCGTTTTCCTTTCTGTATAAAGCGGACAGTCTGTTGTGCATAATTGAGACATGCCGAAAAATTGCGTGGTCAAAAATATTCTGTTTTGGTGATTGAAAAACTTGATTTCCAAAATCAATTCAGAAAACAGTAGTTGAAGTTCGTTAAATTTATCACTAGGTCATCGTAATACTTACAACCTCGGAATCTATTCCATAACCATACCTTTCTTCGGTCTATAGAATATTCATTTCAAAATTCGTTTTTTAATGTCTAACTATTATTTTTTTCCGATCAATCAATCTCATCCTTACACGTCTTCGCCTACAATATTTAGAATACATCTCAAGCTCATGTTGTGCGTGTGTGTATGACAACATATTTGTAATTATTTGACTTCTGTACAGATTTCAGTATCAGAAATTTGTCAAATAAACTCAACTATTTCACTGATCAGGTGTCTCCATTTAAAAAGTTTTGGATAATTAAACATGTTCAAAATGAAACATCTGGACAGATTTAAATACATTTTTCTTAAATATTCAGAAAACAACTCGTTCGGTGCATTATTTAGAACTCAATTGTTTACATGGATACTAGATGCTAAAGGAGACCTGAAATACGGAAGCACGGGCTTTCTTTCCTTCCCAAAAGCAAAAAATAGTCTGTATGTAAACAATGAGATCATATGGTGAAATTTATTTAGATACTACTAGCTCATCTGCGAAAATCTTTTCAATTAATCAGTCTAATATCCATGAATTTTTTAATTCCATGTCTGCTTTTGTAGATAAGTCACTTGATCAAGCAGATATGTGTTTTTATGACTTATTTCTAATTTTGAAATTAACCACAGGAGCAAAGAAACTAATTATACATTGTCACATACACACATATATTGCCCACATACTATATAAATCTCTGTAAAGCGAGATTATTGCTAATAGTTGTTCACAGACCATGGATACTAGTGCCATTTCAATATTAACAATTTTGATTTCCGTTCAAATTCCAGCGATTCTCTGCAGTATTTTTTGTTTATATCATTTTTTATGGACACGAGAATTACGTCATGGTATACACAATCACGCAATTATTTGTCTTCTCATATGTTCCCTATTAGCAATTGCAACTGAATTACCTATTGCTGAACAATTTTTAGTATATGGTATTGTTTATCCATCAACAAGAAGTTTTTGTTTATTCTGGAATTATTGGAATTTTACACTCAACAATGGTAATATATTCATCATGGCATGGATGTCCATTGAGCGTCATTTATTAATATTTCATTCGAATTTGTATCGAACATCACGAGGACGTCTATTGTATCATTTTGTACCTCTACTGAGTGCTGTTGTATACAGTCCATTATGCATGCTTGCTCTTGCATTTTATCCATGTACAAATATATCCATGTTCAGTTATAAACGATTTTTGTGTAATTATGCATGTTTTCTGTCACAAAAGATTCTCGTATCCTATGAACTAATAGGTAATTTATTAGTACCAACAATGATTATTGTACTTTGTAGTTGTGCATTATCCATTCGTGTTATTCGATCTAAAAGAAAAATAATTGCTCAAGTATTTCGATGGAGAAAAACACAAAAACTACTTGTACAATTAATATTGATTTCAACATGCTATTCATTAATTTGGATTCCTTATACAATTGTTATTCTATTAAGCCAATATTGGCGTCCGAATATAGTCGATGCAAACGTAACATTATTTCTTAATTACGGTGGATATGTCACAACTTTGTTGACACCATTTTTGTGCCTTAATAGCATACCGAATCTGAAACGAAATTTGAAACAACCTTTATTCGTTATGTTTAAGTATAAAAAGAAGCATTCTGTGGTACCAATAGAAACAATACGTACAAATCATCATTTGGCAGAAAGTAGACGAGCGATTGCACATTAACGATCAAACTATAGTAGTGCACAGGAATCGAACACCTCAAGTTTAATTTTAGACAATTTAGTCCAAAAGTAAAATTGATGCTTTAAAGTTTCTATTTTTGGTGTTCGATTCCAACAACTGTGTAGTGTTGTTTTCCCTCTGCTCTATCCTAGTCTCTCTCTCTCTGTGAAAGTATATGTCAAAGAACATTATTGTTGACTGATAGTGGCAAACTGACTTTCAGCACAAGTTAACTGGAATGCAACTATGGTGTAATGGGTGACCCAGAATAAATGGTGGTCTCAGTGTTTTACTTATAACTTGGTTTGAATTTGTTTCCGAGACTCGATGTTTTGTTTAAAAGATGCGCTGCGAAATACTCTACAAAATTATACCTAAACTGTAATTTCAGAACTTCAATCAAGAAAACTAAGCCAGTTAGATGAAAGTCGGGAAAAATGAAAACTTACCAATCTCAAAATATTTTTCGACTTGAACTTTTTCTTCTGCTACTATTTCCGCTAAAAAGTGTAGCAAAAGTGAGAACTCAGTTTATGTTTGGTACTTTCAAATGTGCTCTTTCTCGTGGTCTGTAAAATAATTCTTTTCGAGCAGATGGTTTGCCGGAGAACGAAGATACAAAAATACGTCAGAAGTTGACAAGCTCCCCGTTTCTGACAATGTGCTCAGGCATTACGCGGAAAACATGATTGGAGTTTTGGTTTTGCAATTAGATAGAAAAGAGCAATCATTTCTGATCAAAACAAAACAAACCTGACCGGAAAAGTCTTTATTTTGATGGAGTTATGGGACTGTTACTGAAAGCACCACTATACCCAAAATTTAAAAAATTAATGAAAAACCGCATGACAACCGACAGAAAAACTATTATTTCGCCGTAGCTTTTAATGTGAAAATATTTGAAGCTAAAAGATAAAGCGAAGTCGGGGCTACAAACTGACCAATTCAGCTTTTCTTACTTTCGAAACGTTAATACAAGAAATAATTTTTGAGTTTGGAAAGTTTTCATTTTTTTAACGTTTGTCTAATTGGCTTAGTTTTCCTGATTGAAGTTCTGACGCACCCTTCTACTTTAATTTGTAAAGCGCAGCGGTGTGACAAAAGCCCCGAATAATCCAGAAAAACAGCTCCGGCAAATATGCGGCAGTCTAAGCGATTACTTATTTTATGAATAAGATACACAAGCTATTTGAGTTATTGATGGATAATAAACGAAGTAAAAGTTTTACTTCATCCACAAGCTAATTTACTATTGAATCACCTTGTATAAAGCCGAATTGCTATGATGTTAATACTTCGATCTTTTTACATGTTGGAATAATTTATCGAAAACTAAGTTATATACAAAGAATTTTAGACATTGCAGGAAGTAAACTTATGGGGCGATAGCTGGTTAACAGTGTGCTGTCTCCATCATTGAATAAAGAATGAATAACATTTACTTTCCAAAAATCTGGAAACATATCGTTAGACAAGGAAAAATTGGCAATATGCAAAAGAACTATTGTTTATAACTGGTCTGACTTCAATTAAAAACTTTGAGGTAATAGACGGGCTAGTAGCCTTATTAGGATCCATCCTGTTCAAGCACTTCGAAAGAATAGCGTGAGGAAGACTAAATTTGTTGTATTCAGTGTTGGCCATTGTACATAGATTTGCAAAATGTGTGTTAACAATTTGCACTTTTAATACATCATTAGAACAGTCATCATATCTCTCATCTTTAAACACTGAAATATTTGTAAACCAATTGGTTAAATCACCTATACCGAAAATATTGTAACGTAAATCAAATAAAAACGAGAACAAACAGAAGGAGAATAAAATCCAACATTGAAGACAGGAAAAAAGTTAGACTGATAGTCGAAACACACCTAGGAATAATACAACTATTAACATTTCAATTGTCACTAATCTATCTCAAAGGATCTTATAGATCATGGTAAAGCATTTGATAAAGTAGAACATGATACTCTTTCGTATAAATTATACAGTGCTGGGTTCCCTAATTCATTGTCCAAATGATTTGAGAGTTATGTAAAAGATCCTAATCTCTCTTCCAAAACTATTTCTTGTTCACTTCTTCGTGACAGTGTTTGGCCTGTCATTAGTTTTGACGTATATAAGCTAATCACTGATGGGTTTAAAACTATTTTTCAGGGGTAGAGTGATAATCATTCCAACTCCAGTTATAACTGCATCCGTTTTAGTAATGGCTACCAGCCCAAAATAAAATTATGAAAGCTCGTTTCAGTTTGTATCAATTTTTTCCTGAAATATTGACTCATGTATTGACAGCATGAAGGATGCTGTGTACACTGCATCCCGGGATCTTAATTAATGTTATTGTATATAAAAACTTCTCAATATAGTATAGGTCTACTGAGAAACATAAATAGAAATGAACAAGCAAAACAGCAATTATATTTTACTTCTAATCATGTTCGTGCTGGGCATCTAAAAACAGTGAGCTTTTCTTATCATCATCTTTTAAAAATTTGAAACCAAATTTGCAATACAATTTTGGAGCCGATATCTTTCCTGCTCCTTTATCAGCACATAATAAACATATTAATCCATGTTTATTCTCTGTGTCATTCATAACTGCTTTTAATAAACAATTAACAATCGATGATCCTAATCCTTTTGACTGATATTCTTCGGCCGTTAAAATATCGGATATATATGTTAAATAACCCATCTGTGTGAATAATCGACCAAATGCAACTGGAACATTTTTTATATTATCCAAAATCATACAAGTTAATGTTGATGATTCAATACGATTAATCATTTCATTCTCATCACATTTTTTCAACCAAAATGCGTTTAACTAATTACCGCTAATTGTAAAGCATACAATTTTATTTTACTTTTATCTGTTATGACATCATATTGTTTTTCATCAAAATATTTTATATCCATTTTATTTAATACCATTAAATCTAAATGTTTGTTTTCTAACGCAAACGTGTTCTTTGGAAAATAATAAAATATTTTACAATTATAAATTTTTGCTAAATTAATACTGATTGTTTCTAAAATTTTGTGTATATCAAATGCATCAGTACCTTCAACCTGTTGGAATGTAACTAAAAGTGTTCTATCTGGTATATCAACAGCATAAAAACCAGTGAGAATTACAGTATGCCCAGTAACACTTATAATATAATCTTGTTTATTAATAATTACATCAAACATGATTTTCCAATGTTATTGTAATATATAAAAAAAGTGACTTCATACGACTACTAAATTATAAAAGAAAGATAAAAAAAAAGATTAATATTTTCTATACTCCATATGTGGTGAATGCATTTTTTCACATCAAGATTTGAATATAATCAAAGCACAAAAGGGCATATACGACAACTAATATTGCACTCTTTTAGTTTAATCCTGTTTATTTTAGGCTACTAATGCAATCACGAAGATTTATTATAAGTAGCACCACATATTCATACATGCACATACATACACAATCAACTACGTCTTATGTCGGGTGATGATGTAAGAGCAGAAAAAAACAGGCAAGTAAAGATTTTATTTCCAAAGTATTATATGACAGATAAAGATAGAACGAAAGATAATCGAAAGAAAGAAATGGAAAAAAATATATAAGAAATTGAAAGAAGGCGGAAGAAGAAAAAGAATGGTAATGACTAGTTTTTTGGTTTCCTTTCGTTATGACGTTTGTAAAATCAATTCATTTTTTCTCTTCTTCGGCTTGTCTAGCTAACGGCCTCCATTTTTTGCTTTTTTCAAAAAGTTATTGCAATAAAGCTACAAACTAATCTAAAATAGTAACTACATAACTAAGTAGATTAAACATTTCTCTACAAAAAGAAAAGTGTCTCGGCTCTGAACCACTTTCTAGAAAGCTGTTTGTTCTACAAAATGTGATAGCTTGTCAAGTTCGAAACTGTTCTAATGAATCTGTATTAATCAAAGAAAAACCACAAAACTCGTGACGCTGTGACACTCTTGACAGTTTTTTGTCATAGCGTTACGGTTTTTCTTTGATTAATACAGCTTAATTAAAGTAGTTTCGAACTTGATAAGCTATCACATGTTGAAGAGCAAACAATTTTCTACAAAGTGGTATACTTGTTCAATTTTTGCCAGCTCGTCTTCACTCTTTTAGACACGCTTTTTACATTGCCCCAAAATCGATTTTTGGAGCTGTTTGTACAACAGCTGTATTTTCATAAGGAATCAACGTTCAGAGCCAAGACACTTTTAATTTTGTAGAGAAATGTTTAATCTACTTAGTTATGTAGTTACTATTTTAGATTAGTTTTTAGCTTCATTGCAATAACTTTTTGAAAAAGAGCAAAAAAATGGAGGCCGTTAGCTAGACACGCCGTCTTCTTTCAATTTCTTATATATTTTTTTCCATTTCTTTCTTTCGATT